GTTAGGGTGGCCAAAATCTGGAACCAACTTCCCAGGGAAGTGGTCCTCACCCCTACCTTGGGCAAATTCAAGAGGAGGTTGGATGATCACCTGTCTGGGGTCTTGTGAACCCAGCATTCATTCCTGCCTGTGGCAGGAGGTCAGGCTAGATGATCTGTTCAGGTCCCTCCTGCCCCTAGCTACTATGATACTGTGGTGGTAGCAGCCTTGAATAATGCTCTTGCTATTTCAAGGTTTTCTTATTACATCGTATTTTTTGTTGGCTTTCTGAAGTACACCCAGCATACAGGCCTTCCATTTCTTCAAAATATTTAGGCACCAAACTCACTCAAAGGAGAGAAATCTGTAGGTTCTAAGCTGTCTGGTCCTAGTCTGTGCACATTGGTTAAATAGTATCTTAAACAAGAAAAGGCCTTGCATCATCTATTTTGCATTTGCCATTGTGGGTAGAAGCTCTCCTTTATCTTTTCCTGAATGCATAATACATTCCCTTGCTCCTGGGCTGCAGTGGCCTAGTTCCAGTTGATTGATCATATTGCCTTTAGCTAGCTTTGGAGGTCATTCTCCTGTCTTCTTCTAACCAGTTGCTCATCAGTTAAATAACTGGTCCCCTCCCCTATTCAACTTTTATGTTTCTCATAAGCCATTTGAAATCTTTGCTGGAACCTCACTTCTCTCCTGTACCTGTTGATATAGCAGCTTCTGACATGCACTGCCTCTGCAATAGATTTTTAAATTATATCAGATCTAAAGGCATCGTAAAAAAAGTCTTGTTATCTTCTGCTGTTTGAGTTTAATGGCAACCAGGGCCAGGTTTGAATAATGTCAAGAAATTTCTTTTAAAATATAGAAAATGGCAGGCCTGAGTTCCAAAATGAAACATTACCCTTTCTACTATTTTAGGTATTTAAGGTTTAAAACCCCTGCCACCATTTAATGATAACCATTTTTTCCTCTTGCAAGTACTCTCAGAGACAGGGTAACTCAGGAACACACCCACATTTATTTAAAGTCAAGTGAACAATTGCTCTGAACTACTGAACTAATGCAGCCCAGCCTGCTGGTTTTCAGTCCCTCTAATGCAGGGGTGTCAAAGTCCTGGGGGTTAGGTGAATGAGTCCAGTGAGTCCATGGGCTGAACGAATGGCATGAAGCTGGCCCCCCCATGCCAAATCCAGCACACAGGATGCCCAGTCTGGCCTGTGTGGGACCTGTTGGGAAGACGTCTGGTATCACAGGTGCTTACCTGCCACTTCAGGAACAAGCTGTGATGCTGCTAGGGCTCCAGCACCATGAATCTCACTCAGGTACTTGGCTACTGCTGGAGGAAGATCACAGCCAGAGTCAGGGCAAAAATCTGTAGGATGGATGACCCAGGTCTGCAGGCTAGAGTAGGCCCGCAGGACATATAATTGACACCCCTGCTCTACTGCTGTGCCTCACAGCAGCAAGCCCAAATAAGCCTCACTTTTTAAGTCCAGTCTTCCCCTTCTCAGGCATGTGGGCTTAGGGTGCTTCCTTCAGCTCTGCTCTTGCTAAGGTCAACAGGAGCAACTTTCTAATGCATATGCACAAGAGGGATAAGTTAAGGTTTCATGGGCAGCCTCAGCTCTGGCGTCTCCCCACTTGTGAGTGTTTTGCCACCTTCACAGCTTTCTTGGAAGGTATTTTTTCCTTATCCCTAAGATCACATTGAAAGACATGCTACATTGTTCTGGATTCATTTTCACATAGCTGGTTAATTGGTAGAAATGTATTCTGAGAATTCTGAAGGGGACGACATGTGGTGGACCTATTCTCTCTCCTGCTAAGGGTGTTGCTCTACTATCTCCAGGTCCTTTTTGGCACCGCCGATGGTCAGGTTATCGTCATGGACTGCCATGGCCGCATGCTGGCACACGTCCTTCTGCACGAGTCAGATGGGATCCTCAGCATGTCCTGGAACTACCCCAGCTTCCTGGTGGAAGACAGCAGTGAAAGCGATACAGATTCGGATGACTACTCCCCACCGCAAGGTAGTGATGCGTTCAGCTTTGTTCTGTTGAACACTGGCTATCCCTTCAATAACAGTAACGCTGTGGGGCACTCATGCTCTGTAGGGGGACGTCTATGGTTCCAGTTCGTAAAGGGTGCAGTTACATCAGCTAAGAGAAGGTGTTTGGGGCTGTGTGAGTTACCAGTTTTTATGCTTCAGATGACTCATGTTATCAGTTTTTATGCTTCAGTTGCCTCAGTTGCTAGTTGAGGCCAAGAAGTAAACCTCCCCTCACTTCCCCACCCCATCTGGGTATAATATCACTGAGGTTTGATTTTCGGACTAGGGGAAGACTAATAGTCATTGTGTCCATTCTCAGGCAAGTACAGGATACTCTCTGTCTCCTCCCCAGCCATAAAAAGAAATATCAGATACTAAATTGATGCTCTTGGTTAGTGCTGGAGACAAGAAATGGGAGTAGATGGGTTGTTGGTGTGTTCCAATATATCAGGTCTAACTATAGCATAATGTCAATGGTGGTGGGACAAAATAAAATATAAAAATGTTCATATTCATCAAAGGTGAGTCTGAGCCAGTATCTCTGCCTTTGCACTTTAGGATTCACTTTGGGTCCAGTCCAAAAAGGGGCATGTTTTCCCAAACAGGCTGTAACCAGTCACATTAGAAATCTTGAGAGATCGGCTGCTGACAGTTTTTAGTTCCTTTGAATCTGACTTTTGCCCTGACTTCCTTGTGAATTTGAACACAGGCTCCATCTCCAATGCTGGTAGAGGTTTGCCTTCATAAGAGATACAGATTCCAGTCATTCTGGACTTCCCAGGAAGCCTCTAATAAAGGACAAGGAAAGGCATAAATTCATGTTGTTATTATTTTGCAATATCATGGTTCTGATTTTTGAATAATGGATTTGGATGGAACATTGCTGTAAAGTAACATAATTCGAAATGAACTTGAGTGGGGTAGGAAACGTGCTAACTGCAGCTGAGTCAGTCAGGAGTGGGTGGACTCAATTACAAGCCTGTTTCTAATGAGTACTGTAACATGATGTGTTCTTTTTATAGCTTTACAGGTGCTTCACAAACCTCTCAAAGGTGGCAAGCCTTTAACTCACACTGATGTGTAGGATGGACTTTATGTTACTCATCTAAAAACAATGGGTTTTTTTAATGTATCAGTTACAGGACAGTTTTTCTCTCAAGTGTTTTTTGATAAGCCTTCTCATACATTCTGAAAGCAGTGCCATTCTTAGTCCACTATTTCATGATTGACTACTCAAAATTCATTGTGTTTGGGCCACAGAATCACTTTATGTAGGGACTGGAGTATCTTCTGTCAGAACAGTAAATGATGAAATAAATAAATAATGAATGCTACAGATGGTGCTATTGCCCATTAAATATTAAATGTAAAAGAAGATCGCATGAATACTGAAATACAGACTCCCACAGGCAAAGGGATTTTTTTGGATGGCCATCAAAGTACTCTTAGTTCAGGTCTCTCTTGTTTTTAGACTTTCTGATATATTTGGACTCCGGTTGGATGGTGTCATGATGGAACATACAATTAGTTAGCTCTTAACATGTAAAGGACTGTATTCTGTAAGAGGCCAGTTGTTACTCTAAGAGGCACTTACGATTTCTCCTATGACTTCAACTGGAGTTCCCCAGTGTGCACTTAAGGACAAAATGTAGCTAGCAAATAGTTCTAAGTATGATTATAATATGCATTATATCATATTATAGATGTGAGACACTATATTTACAGGTAAACTATAGTAAAAATGCCTGTTTGCAGTTTCAAGCACCTATTGGTAACATGGATAGAACTCAGTGCTTGCTAAGTTTTAACTGAAATGCACAGAGCCATCAGGGAGAACAAAATGGGTGTGGGGAGAAAGACTTCAGTCTAAGATGGGAATAACAGTCAAGTTTCAGCCAAGGAACACAAACTTGCCCCACAATTTTGGATGCGTCTCTTTGAGTTTCTTGTGATTACATCCCAAGAGCAATCATCTTTTGGATAATGAGGGGGCACATCACAGAGTCTGTGAGGCTAAGTGGCTAGGCCTATTTTGCCTTGTTTCAGGTTCATGATCAAAAACAACCAGGCAGAACTCAAGTTTCAAAACCATGCAGTGTGACAGGAGGCTGGACAGCAGTGTGTTTCAAGCCTGGATTTAATTGTTTTGGATAGTGCCCTTCTTGCTTACTCAACAATCTTGTTTTTGCAGATGGTCCGGCTGCATATCCCGTACCAGTGCAGAACACCAAGCCACTACTCACTGTCAGCTTCACGTCAGGAGACATTAGTTTAATGAACAACTATGATGACTTGTCGCCTACTATCATCCGCTCAGGGTTGAAAGGTACTAAAGAGAGACATCTCCCCTTATCCCATACCTAGTTTTTCTTCTTGTATTTTTCACCTCATTATTTCTGTATGTGTTTTTGTTTTAGTGTCTCTGTCTTGCAGCCTGATACCTGCTACAGCAATTTTCCATTGTCAGCAGTGACACCTACTGGAATAAAAACAATGCTCAGCTATTAGATTTCTTGCTTTTGAAATAAGTGGGTAGCCAATTTTCTGTTTGATGAGGTCACCTTTTAGCCTACTGCCCTAGCAGTCCTGTGTATGCCTGTATGTTTACATGTAATATATGCTTTATTTGTATCCTACACAGAATTTCTTTGATATCATATCTGTCATTCATGTAGCCATTACAGTTGCCCATGGCAATCAAAGTAAATTGTAATACTGTGTTTAATCTACCCATATAAACACCAGGGAATGTAGAGAATTATTAACAGAGTAACAATATTAAGTGGAAAGTCTTTTTTGAGAAAAGAAAACCTCCAGTGATTAATTGTAATACCTTAGACAGATATTTATTGAGGAATATCTGCATATGTATTTTTGTGGAAAATACATGCTTCGCATAAAGCCTTTCATTTAGGGCCAGATTCTGCTGTTCATATACATGATTAGTACTATATCTTCTAAGTAGCCACATAGTTAGCGGGGGCACTTGCAGTTACAGCGAAGCACTTAACCATGTGGATGCAGCTAAGCATGTGATTAAATCCTGTTGACTCCATCTGAATTTAGGTAAGTGCATAAGATTCCTAAGGTAATTCACAGTGGCCACATCTACATGAGATGCTGACTGCACAGTTGTTACTGCGCAATGATTTGGTACTTGTGTATACTAAATGTTGGGCGGGTAACAGCACCACTGTGTTTCATTGTTTCATAGTTGCTAGGGTTGGAAGGGACCTGAGCAGATCATCAAGTCTGACCCCCTGCCGTGGCAGGAAAGGGTACTGGGGTTAGATGACCCCGGCCAGGTGTTCATCCAGCCTCCTCTTAAAGACCCCCAGGGTAGGAGCCAGCACCACTTCTCTTGGAAGTTGGTTCCAGATCCTAGCCATCCTGACAGTGAAGTAGCACCTCCTGATGTCTAATCTGAATCTACCCTCTGCCAGCTTGTGACCGTTATTCCTAGTCACTCCTGGTAGTGCTTGGGGGAACAGGGACTCCCCCAATGCCTGCTGGTCCCCTCTGACTAGTTTGTAACAGGCCACTAGATCCCCCCTTAGCCTTCTCTTGTGGAGGCTGAACAGGTTCAGGTC